AAAGACCTCCAGATCGATACGGGCACAGTGTGTAGCTGGTGTTTGCATGTAGACTGGTACAGTGACAACTTGAGTGCTATGTGGACTTTGTGCAGACGTTTCAGTTGTTCTGCAAGCGTTTTTGTTTTTGGTTCCTGAATCGGTTTGTTATGTAGCAGTCGACGAATGTATGCTGCACAGTTGTAAATCAGACATTAATGTGAAGCGCACATGCCATGTGTGGTTGTAAATATTTGTAAATATTGTGTATTTGTCTACTAATAGTAATCCACTAACAATTACTAACACTGTTCTTTTCAAAGAGGGGGAACATGTAGTGTTTTCAGTTTCGGTTTCCATTTAGTTTATGCTGTTTTTACTTGCCACCAGGTGACTTTTGTATATATATGCATACCTCTGAACAAAGCTGAGGCTGGCTTGTGGCTGTCGACGACAGTGGTCGCTTCATCGTTCTTCCGCGGCTTCCGCCGCAATACAACGAAGGTTAAGGAAACAGCGACTGACATGTGGAGAATTGGCATGATTAAGAAGTCAGCACTAGAGACCTATCGAACTTGCTATCGAAATTGCCAAGGAAAGGACCTATGGTATTTCTCGCGGTAGTTCTCTACTGTTTAGGGTACAGCTATATCAATCCATCTATCTATCGAACTGCTGGATCGAGGCTATTTTCGTATCAGAGTCGCTGCCAAACAATTTTTCTTTCATCTCGGCTTTGACTGTTGAACGGATCAAACCATCTCGACTGACTGTTCACCTGTTTGTGTGCTATGTGTTTCACGTGTGTCGCCTAGTTAAATGCGCTGATTCGTAATAGATAACGGATCGTCAATGTTATCGTCGGCCTCGAGAGCTCTGATGAAGCGAGGAAAGTACGTCACCATGTCGATGGCGAAGAAAACTGCCATCGTCAAGCTCGTGGAAAGTGGCCGATCATAAGTAGACGTTGTGAAAGAGTTCCAGATTTCCAAACAGACTCTTTCGGACCACATGAAAAACAAGCAGAAGATTTTGGAGGCAGCGGAAAAGTCTACTGGATGTCGCAAGAAAAATGTGAGCCAAGGGACCTACCCAAAGCTCGAGGAGGCCCTTATCGTATGGGTGAAGTCAACAGTGGCCAGCAAGGTTCCTGTCTCTGGAGGCCTTCTCAAACAGAAAGCTAAGACGATGGCACTTCAAATGAACATTGAAAGATTCAAGGTCAGTGACGGTTGGCCAAGGAAGTTCAAGAAGCGCTTTGATTTCACTTTTAAAAAAACGTACAGTGAAAGTGCAGCTGTCGACTTTAGCGCCGTTGTGAACTACCGCTCTGAAAAGCTGCAGTACCTTTTACAGGAGTACTCGTCAGACGACAAGTTCAGCTGTGATGAGACCGGACTTGCCTTTGCTGGCGAGCCTTGTCATGTTGGCAAACAAAGTAAGGAGCGAGTTACTATTCTAATCGGCAGCAATATGTCGGGCACAGAAAAACTGCCAATGCTCGTCATTGGCAAGTCGAAAGCTCCAAGGTGCTTTAAAGGTGTTAAGTCCCTGCCTGTTTTGTATGAAGCCAACAAAAAGTCTTGGGTAACTCGGAAGATTTTTGAAAACTTGTGACAAGACTATGTGAGATCGCAAATTTGATCTAGAAGGCCGCAAAATTTTGTTGTTTGTGGACAATTGCGCCGCAAATGGCCACATTAGCAACTTGAAGGCTGTGCGCGTCGAGTTCTTGCCACCGAACATTACAAGTGTCCTACAATCGATGGACCAGGGTGTAATACACACTCTCAAAGTAAACTATTGGTCACGCTTGCTTTCACGTGTGGTGGTGTGCCTTGACAGGGGAAAGGCTACTCTGTCGATTTGCTTGGAGCATTTAGCATGCTCGCTGATGGGTGGAAATAGATGGCATCGACAACGCTGCGCAGCTGTTTGTGCCAGGCAGGATTTGTATTGATTGGCGTGTCGGCCGCATCGGACGAGGACAGCATCGTTGGCCAGGTGTCCGGAAGTGAGGTGATCATTGACGACCTTCACACTGCGGGTGTTGTGATTCCCCCCAGATGTCTCGTTTTTCGAGTTTGCGTGTGTGGACAGCGAATTAAAAATGTGCGCTGGACTCACGGATGAGGAAATCATTCGTCATGTGCTAGCGGAGTTGGAGAGCAACAATAACGATGACGACGATTTACCTTCGAGAGCTCAGCCGACACAAGCTGAGCTGATGCAAGCAATCGCAGCCCTTTCGTCAGCTTACAGCGACACAGCAACTCTAGCTGAAACGTGGGCGGACGTGCTCGCACTGAAGCAAAGCATAGCTAGAAGACGATCAGTCACTTTTTTCGCCCTCTGTCTCATTAGTAAGCAATAAATTGAGCATTTTGGGGGCACATTTACCTTTTCGGACCGCTCGATTTTTCGAACAGTTTCGCGGTCTTTTGAGGGTCCGAAAAATCGGTCATCGACTGTATTTTCGTTTGCACAGCGTTCCACTTGCCCGCGATGATGTCTACCTCGATTTCAGCTAATGTCAAGGTGTCGCTTTAGACCGAAGACAGTTTCAGTGCTCGCAACTCCAAGCTCGTTGGCTATGCAGGCTCTGCCTCTTGGATCTTGGTGTTGGAGTTGTTATAATCCTCCGTAACTTGATGAATCATTTCATCTTTGGTCAGCTCCGCATGCAGCTCGAGGTTTTGATCAGCGTCAGCGAAGCCCTCAATGGTTGCCCCGCCGCGGTGGTCTAGTGGCTAAGGCACTCAGCTACTGACCCGCAGGTCGCGGGTTCGTATCCCTGCTGCGGCGGCTGCATTTCTGATGGAGGCGGAAACGTTGTAGGCCCGTGTGCTCAGATTTGGGTGCACGTTAAACCACAGGTGGTCAAAACTTCCGTAGCCCTCCACTACGGCGTCTCTCATAATCATATGGTGGTTTTGGGACGTTAAACCCCAGATATCTATCGAAGCCCTCAAAGGTTATCTTGGCTGGAATATGAACACCAGTGGAAGTTCGTCACACACTCTGTCCATTCCAGGCAAGATGGCTGTCTCGGTGTGTCCAGTATTTCGCGTGGTGAGAAGAGCTCAAGAGGGTCTATTGCTAAACCGCCTTCCATGAGTCCGTAAGCATGCCTGTGGAAGACCATAAGTCAACAGCATAGCTTTTCTCACTCAGAGCGCAGGCACAGCGCCATGCTGACCATGCGGCTGTGGCCACAGGTTTGACTAAGCCTCGTCTGGCAACGAATTGGGGTGCGCTGGATGGCGACATTTTCGGTTTCAAGGATACGGAAGTCGCGAGGTGATGTGTTTGAGGGTATGAAAACCAAAATGGCGGTGTTGTTAGTGACTGAGAGTCTGCGACTAGCAGTGAAGTCTCAAAAATCGGATGGCAAAAGCTATAAACGTCCGGAATATCTGACTTTTCAATACATTGAGTCTATGGGCAAGTACTGCTGACTGGGCGAGTTGGTGCATGAGAAAACGATGTTGCTTTAGCGCAGCTGGAAGTTAGCGCTCACACTGTCCTCTGTATTTTCTCTTCTTGACTGCGTAGTATCTTTCCTTCACGCTCAAACTGAGCTGCGCTAAAGCAATATCACTCTATGGGCAACTTGACGGTGCCACAGATGAGTCCGGGAAATCAAGCATGACCTAACTTTTGGGCGTCCGAGAAATCGGACGTCGACTGTACCCATTGTAGAGGGAACTGCAGTAGCCCTAGCAGCAACACACTCCGCTGCGGTATACATTCTTACAGATTCGAAAGTAGCCTACCGGAACTACATGAGAGAATGTATTTCACCTTCAGCTCATGCCATTCTATGGTATGCACGAACACGAGCCACGAAAAAGCAGCTCACCCTGGGTGCCAGGTCACCAGGGGGTAGCTGAAAACAAGCTAGTTCACAAGGCGGCCCGAACATTCCTCCTCTGTGCTCTGTTTACCGACCCCTCAGACTACTGCATTCAACCACCAATACCAGCTACTACATATACAGATATACTGTAGGTATATCCCCCATGAAGACCAACTTTGCCTCATTCCGCTCAGGGACTTACTAAGGCGACCTGTCTGCGCAGGCTCCAAACTATGTCGTAAAGCAGTCCGGTCATAATGTCCAAAATAGACCCAGAACAATTTAGTGCAATGTGTAAATTCTGTGGCCTGTTTCACATTGTATGGGCCTGTCAGTCTAGCAGAAGCAGCACGCAAATTACGCAGCCTACTTTGGAGGGGTGGAAGGAGGCTTTGTCAGGCCCAGCTCTTAGCAGGCCCGACGACCAGCGGAGACTCTTGGAGCGTTTGATTTCAGCGCAATCAAACGGAGTCCAGGAATAGGGACCCGCGCAGTCCTCTCTTGAACTACATTTCTGAAATAAATGTTTTATTCATTAAGTCATGCCTGAATTTCAAGGTCGCCAGCTTGGCAGAGCCCCATACGATTTCGCAGAGTATCTCAAAGAATTCAACAGGTGCTGCGAATGCTAATGTGAACTCCATCATTGTTTGCTCAGTGGGGTAATTCAGAATACTTTTATTGATATAGCAGCGCTTCTTAACTCCACATGGTTTCGGTGGGTTGAATGTTTAATGCATGCATTTTTTTTTAAATGTAAGTCTTTTTTTTTTATAACGTTAGAGATTTCGTCTTTTAAAGTGACATTTTGCTGCTCCGAAATTTGCTCCAAATTCAATTTTGGGTGTTGCACCCCTAAGTACAATGTTCATCTTTTGTTATGGAAGGGATTAACGAATGCCGTGAGTCTAAACTTTCACAGAACCTTTCACAACAGCCTTTCTCGTAGCCCCAGAATTGTTTTATGATGTAGAGCTTATGAATGTATCACAGATAACTGTGTTCACTCTTTCTTTTTTTTTGTTAATAAACTGTACAAGATTTTAGGAGCTAAATATGTTGTTTAAGGTCACTTTTTCTATTTGCTCGGAAATAAACAAAGCTGAAATGTCGATTGAATTCAATGCACCAACTCGTAGTCTTTCCGTTTACCATTTTTCAGAGCCCAACAAGGACAGGCCTTTCACAAAAGTAAGTAGCTGCCATTATTACCTTGGCCACATTGAGCACCCATCTCATTAGGCTCCGCTGTAGTATGGCCAATCTGCCCATTGTTGGGGAGCTTGTGTGACCCAGTTACTACAGTTAGAGCTGCTTATAATGAACCTCCATGTAATCAATTCCTCGATATAAGAAGCTTTTTCTATTTCCCGTCGTTACTCCATAGAAGCACATGTTTTTTTGACCTCTGTGTAACAAGGTAACAACGAGAGACATCCTTGATATAGTGAATTTCTGCCATGGACAATCTGAATTTCGCCCCGGATTTTTTTTTTGGCAAAAGCGTGCATCTTTCACAGTTGCCCCGCCGCTGACAAAGCACGAAGTGGCGGCAGCGCGGTTGTGGTCCCGGCGAGTTCTAGGCGAGAGCGAGCGTTATTGTGAAGGAGTGGGCTCCTCATGAGCCGGTGGGGCCGCCGTTCTTGCCGCCGCATGCACGGATGTGCCCTGCACCTCCCTCCAAACCAAAAACAAAAAAAGGCAACTGCTTTTGCTTTGGAAGTGCCATGCTTTTAGTTAATGTCACATATATGTGGGGCCGCACTGCATATGAAGGGCGCTCTACCGAATAGTTTTCTGCGGTATCTGTGGCGTTCGCTCCTCGTTTCCGACGTCGTGCACGTGTGCACGGTATCACGCGTGCACATGATGTGGCCTTCGACCACGTCCAGCTTTGCTTTTTTTTTTAATGTGGACAACCGTGTCTTCACTACCGAGGAAATGTCAGATTAGGCGCTGATGAAACTCTTCCAGACCACGATGACATTTTCGGAGGTCGACTCGGCACGCGCTTCCATCTTGCGTCGCGAGTTCGCAAGCTCGTAGCCTTCGCGATTAGCCGATTAGCTCTGTCAACAATGTGACAGTGTGTTGAATGCAATCCAATGCAATAATTGCGATAGCAACAAATTGTAATGTTATACCAAGTGCTGGCAGCAATCTCTCCAGGGTCCGATATCGCGGAACTCCGACAAAATGTTGGCGTAAGCACATACAGCCGCTCCAGGGAGAAGTGCTCTTTTCGCTCGGGCTCTTCTCGTTGAAAGTGCATTGGTGCTTGCCGAGATAGCACACGTGCCAGTGATCGCGACGGCGCCCTTAAAATCAAAGTTCACCATTGCTACTCGAGCGGCCCCTCTCCCCTGCGTTTTTTATGCTTGTTCAAGACGGGTGGTTTCCTCTCTGTTTGAGAATTTGACGGCAGTTATAACATGCGAGGAGATGTTATCGTATGCGCCCTCCAGGTGATAGAAAAGGGCCAGGTGATTTGCCCGCTGCTTCAACAGCGTTTGCGCGCTTTTACCCACCCCTAGAGTTACGATGCACGGGGTCATGTTATCAATTTGGACTTGTTAGAGAACATGGCGGTGACGGCAAAAACCCGCCAAGATTGTCCATATACAGTGGACTCCTCTTAAACGGAACTCGAAGGGACAAGAAAATTTGTTTCATTTATGAGAAGTTTCATTTAAGCAAAGCCCTCAAAAGGAAAGAAATATGACTTTTTTTCAAAAGTGCCTACTGTGGCTGACTGAACGAAAACATTTTGAAGTATACAATACTACTATATTTCTTTAAAAAGAAAAATGTTTGTGGTAATGCTGACTCGGGAAAAAAAAGAAGGTGGTGATAACAATTTGCTTGACCTCGTTCAAGCACTCTCTCACATAGTAGGAGTGCATTGCTGAAAGACTGGGCAGGAACTCTGTACCACCATTGTGTTCAAAGTAGCGCTGCAACAGGATGACAGCATCTCTTGCTGCACTGTCAGCCACTGAAATAGGCTCAGGATCACACACCATCTCATTACTACTTGAGCACGAGTCCTCACCTTGAACTTCAGCTATGGGTTCTTCAAGGTTGTTCTCAAGTTCATAACAAGACGTTGATTGCTGCTCGGCATGTGCGAACATGTGCAATCACTGGATTAACTTGGCTAGGCTAGCTTTGGCAATTGTTTCATGGTTGCTAGACTGCCATTGCCACTTCCGCAATTTATGGAATTTGGCCGTCTTAGTTCCATTTAATCAATGTAAGCTAAAAAAAAAAAAGTTCCGTTTACTCGAAAATTTTATCATTAAATATATTGGAGACCAACCAAATGTGCCTAGATAGTTTAGTTTATGTGGCTTTTCCGTTCAACCGAGTTTTGTTTAATGAGAGTCCACTGTAATCAATAATAACGCTTTTTTATCGCCAGAAAAGTGTTTTGGGTTAGGTCTGTCTTCAGTTCTCCTTCTGTTTAATGTGTGCATTTATCAATCGAATTTTCATTCAAAACTTGCATATAAAGAAACGTTTTCTATAACTAATTTCACCGGCAATTTCTCAATTTTGTTATACCCAGGTTTAACCGTATCTCCAGGTGGCCCTTGAACACCTCATGAACTCACCACTTGCCTGATCTGTGGATGAAGGCTCATGTCTACCTGTGATCCGCATACTAGTATTACGTGGCATGCAGCAAAGAAATCCAGGGCCTCGTATCAAAAGTTAGATGTATATCAAGTGCACATGTAAAGCGTGTCGTCAAACTTCATGTGAAACTACCCACTCAGGCATTTCTCACAAAATACTGAGAACCTCATCATTTCGAACATCCAGTTAATTTGAAATATTTCTGCAGTCCCGTATTTTGCAATGTAAGTCTTAGCGGATAATTTGAAGCGACGGTCAGCACCAATCTGGTTAATTCGAAAACTTCAGGTGCCATGTGCCGACCCCGATTTCGCCATAAATCCGTGGAAACGATGGCTCTTAAAAGCCACGAGGCGATGCAGAGCAGCGATACTAATGAGTTGCAGCTGAAGCATCCCAGCCATGTCACTTTCAGTGAAAAAAAAAAAAAAAAAAGAAGGCGGAAACAAGTCGTGCTTCACTGCAACACAGAAGTTACTTGCGGGCAGCATGTCGCATGTTTCTTGCAATGTCAGCTTGTCATGATTAGCCCATTCTTTTGGGGATTGTGAAGAAATTTCATAAAGCAGAATTGATAGAATTCGCGATGTCTGCAAACCTCCAAGTGCCAGTGCTTCCAGCGATTTGCGCACTGACACTGTTGGCGGAGTTCTTGCTTGCAACGCCCACTTTGAAAACTAAGTTCAAAAGCTTCAATGATCATGTTTTCAAAGCAAGAGATATCCGAAATTTAGTAACACTGGCCCATTATCAAATTATGCTACCAGAAAGATTGGGCAAATGACCACATCATGACAAAGTGACGCAGTGAGGAGCAGGAGACATGCTGCCCACATGTCACTACTGTGCTGCAGTGAAGCATGCCAAAACACAAGATGTGATATATGTACTGCCATATGAAACTCTGCTGAATTTGTTCATTGGAAATACAACAAGAGTGCGATGCTTTTAGCGAAGTATGCGAAACTACCCTACAACCTGACTCAAGCACGGTCAACAACACACGGCGCACTGATCAAACAAAAAAACCGGTAGCAGACAAACAAATTCGTGGCACTCGCACAGCCTTTTAGAAAGCCAGTGCGTCATGCGATATTCCTAAGTGCCACCAAGTATATAAGGGCGCTGCCATCAAGAATGAACGCTTTTCTGTACTCGCGGTTTATGTATCCTACGTTCTTACACTTTCGAACTCCACAAAAATACCCATTTGCTTACATTGTTGTGTTTATTTATTTATTTATTTTCGCATTCATTATTTAGTGTACCTTTCCAACTGCGCCGTTTAGAACTGCAGCCTCCTTGTGCGCTCTCGTGGAAAAGTTTCACCCCCCCCCCTTTTTTTTTGAAGCCGAGCGCCATCTTCCTCGAACTTCGCAGCGCAGCTAACTTTATATTTAATCTACATAGCCCAACTAGAAAGAAGGTGCCTGTTCACTCACTGAGACCAGTGGCACTACTTTAGTTTTTACAGAGTTTTGGTGGCAGCAGGAGCATGTTGTGTTCTCTTTTTTTGCTATATTAGTTGTCTTATCACGAAGTAAAACTGTTTTTCTCAACTTATCTGTTGTACAATATGTCATTTAGTGGGTGACTTGTCAGTGTTTATACAGTTATACCAGGGTATAACAAAATTGATAAATTTCTGGGAAAATTCGTTATAAAGAGAATTTTGTTATATGCAGGTTCGGCCTGAAACTTTGAAAAATAAATGTGCAAAAAATAAACAAAAGGAGGACTGATGGCAGAGCTAACCCAAAACACTTATTTTACAGTAAAAAACTGAGTTATTATTGTGATAGCAATTGTAAGGACACTCTCGGCCATGTTCCCTAACAAGCCCAAATTCTATGTTCCCTAACCAGACCAAATTCCCTAACCATGTTCCCGCCATGTTCCCTAACAAGCCCAAATTGACAACATACCCCCGCACATCGTAACTTTCTTGAGCAGGTAAAAGCGCACGAGAGCTTTCGAAGCAGAGATCAAAAGAGTCTGCCCATCCCATATCGCCTGGAAACTGCATAAGATAACATCTCTGGCATGTTAGAACTGCAGTCGCATGCTTAAACAGAAAGTAAACCACCCGTCTTGAATGAGCACTTCTCCCTGGAGCGGCCGTATTTGCTGTGTTTTGTACGAGCTCCGCGATACCGGATTCAAAAGAGTTGGCTGCCAGCCTTACTTCTTATAACATTACAATTTTCTGCTATAGCGTTCATAGCATTGCATTGAACGTGCCGTCAAGTTTCCAGAACTAATCGGCTATTCGCGAAAGCTACCAGCCTGCGAGCTCGTGGCGTGGCGAAAGACAAAAGCGCGTTACGAGCAGACCTCTGAAGATCTGTCGTCACCGGGGTCATGGAGAGTTTCCATCAGTGCCTAATCTGACATTCCCTCGGAGGTGACAACAGGGTTATTCGAAATTAAGAAAAGCCGCAAGCGCGAGCCAGTGAATGCGATAGCAACAACTTAGAATGTAACGCTGAGAACGGCAAGCAGATTGAAATGTGCAGCCCGCTGCTCACGCACGAATGACACATGAAAACAAT